CTTTAGTGTGCTCAAAATATCCCCTGAACACCTTCCTTTCCCTCATTATTGCTTAACATTTTAGTTTTGCCCTTGTATAAACTCAGATATTTTAGTTTTTGCTTGTTTTTAGTCAGGAGTTAAATTTGCCACCATAGTTTATCAGTTTCCATTCTCACCATTGTTTCTTGTTGTCTGCATTTTTCCTTAGTTCAGTTTTATTTTCTTGATATAGTAATTTCACATTACTTGAGTGCAGTACTTTTGCTTTGGTACTATAGTGGCCTGAACATGTCTTTACTTTGTTCTTTTTAAAGACAATAGTTTAGGAAGACACAAACATTCTCAAGTTTCCACTTATTTCTTCTTAGATCTTTATGAGACCATCTCCCAATGTCTCCTGGTACCTGCTGTTGCACAAAGATGTCTGCTGTCAATCTCTCTGTTGTGTTGAGTGTTCATGCCCAGCCCTGACAGTTTTAGAAATTTTTATTCTTGAGATCTTGATGTGTCTGGGTGTGGATTCATATTTATCTTGCTTGATACCAGAGTACACTTCCAAGCTGGATTCATACATTTCTTCATTGATAGAAAAAAAGCTATTTACTCTTAAAATATCAATTCTGCTATATTCTACTCTTTTTATCTGGAATGCCTGTCAGATATATCTTGGAGGCTCTCATTTTCCATACAGTTTAACTGATATTTCATTAAAAAATAGAACTCTGTTCTATTTCATGGTTGTTATTCTCTAGGTAAGTTCCTTATTAATTCTTTCCAGTTTGCTATTTCTTTCCTGATTATGCCAAGTCTGGAGTTTATTCTATCAATCTTTTGTATTATCCTGACTTTATCTTTTGTTTCTAAGGTTCCTAGATTTTTGTCTTTTAAATTTTTTCCCTTTTGTGCAACAGCTTGTTACTTATTAATTGAAATTGTTCCTTCACTTAACCTGTTTTGATAGTATCCTAAAGATACATGAGAAGTCTTTGTCATCATGTTTTATAAAGTTGTTTTCAGGCTGGGGCTTTAGCTCAGTGGTTCCACCACCTGGCTTGCAAGCACAAGGTCCCCCAAAACAACAACAACAAAAAACAAAACCAAAACAGAAGTCAATATAGTACATGCTTGTAGGGGGAAATCAACAGAATATGTTAGGGGCCGGGGATTTAGCTCAGTGGTTCCACTGCTGCCTCACAAGTCCAAGGTCCTTAGTTTGATCCCCAGTACCCACCCCCAAAGTTTTTTTCATTAGGAGTAAATTAATGTATGTTGTGTGATTTTGTTGGCTCTTTTTCCTGGTGTTATTATTTTATTCATGTGCCTTAAAACCTAGATCTAGCATGAACTTTAATTTGGGGGAAGTGTCTTTTTGTCACTCTTGAACCCTCTGATCTGCCTGTGGTTGTGGTCTCTTCTACCTGCCTGTCAAGTTCCAGCACAGAGTGATGGTCTCTCTCCTGGATGATATTGTGGATCTGGATCTGTCCACAGAGCTGTGTGTTACTTGATGGATTCTTGTTCTCCAGTCCCCTTGGGCCTGCAGATTGCCAAATGTGATAGCATTGGACAGTGGTTTACACCTGGAGTTTCTCCCTATCCTTACTGTCCTTCCCAGCTTCTGTACTTAGGCAGAGCTAGAGTCTAGACTGTTGACTCAGGAGCATTGTTTGCACTCAGCGTTGCCCCCACTTCACCTTCCCCCACCATAACATGTCCTTTGTATCTGAAAGTCCACAGATTTTATTCTGTTTTTTAGCATTGCTTATCTTTCTAGTTTTTTCAATATTTAATGTGTCATTTTTATGTATTCAGAGCATAGAGAGTGCATAAGAATTGAATTTCTATAGTCATCTTGACCAGAAATAGAAGCTTGAGTATTTACATTTAGTTTCCAACACCTGAAAGAAATAACTCTATATCCCTGCACAGAGGCCAAGGGCCTATAGGAACCACATCTGTCTTTTTCATCTTTATATTCTAGGTACCGTCATGGTGCCTTGCATGTTGTAGGTGCACAACAAATGATATTTGTTGTATAATGAAGTATCAAATATAATAAATGTCCTCCATATCTAGGGTCATATATGTATTTTTACTTACTGTCTCAAACTACCAAACATGACTGGAGTATTCAGGAAAAGTAAAAGGATGACCATGACTCTTACTGTGACTGTCATTGAAAATGAACTTATATGTTGTTTCTTTCCAAATAAGAGAGCAGTATCGACCTCTCTCATTTCCAGTTTTTGTTGTTGCTTTTCTTGTTGTTGATGGTGCTATTTGTGTTACTATGAGTTAAACCAGGAGTGCTCTACCATTGAACTACATTCTCAACTCTATTTATTTATTTATTTATTTATTTATTCATTCATTCATTTATTTATTTATTTATTTATATTTTGAGACAGGCAACTCATTAAGTTGCCCAGAATTTCAAACTTGAAATCTTCCTATGTCAGCCTCCTGAGTACTTGGAATTACACCTGTGCACCACCACACCCAGCTCATTTTTCTTCTTGAAAGTAGACCCCGTTCCCCACCATGAGGCACTCTGCTTTCTGAAAATAGATTAAGAGCAACCTGAACAAATTAGACTTGATTCACATTAGAGGCTTAACTCTCAGTTCTCAGAGATTTTCAAGCAGATATTTTAAATCAGGGATCTGTGCATGAGTTTCTGTGGTTCCTACAGGTACAGGAAACTAGAGGCAACTACAGTCCTTTACTGCATCCCCTGTTGTGTGGACGAGCCATTTGGGGTGAGTGTGCTGGGAGGGTCAGCTGGTGTGGCCAATCTGGGTTCCACTCATTCACCTGTTGGCCATCAACAGTCAGGTGAGTGGGGGTTGATGATTGTATACTTATCTCTTTGCCCCCATGGCCTCTCATTCTCCAACAAGCCAGCCTAGGCTGGTTCACATGACACTGGTTACAGTGGACCACAGAGTATGAGCAGAAAGATCCAGAAAGGCTCCTGCTAGGTTCAAAGTGTCTATGAAGTCCTAACTCAAGACTCACACAGTGTGGCCTCCCCTCCACTCTCGGCCAAAGCAAGTCAAGGGTGCAGTAATAGGGGAACTCTGGGGTTGGCTGTTTCTGCAGTCTACCACGGCAACAAAGTGTGATGGAATGGTGGTGGAACCTCCATTACAGTATCAGAGTTTGCCCTCCAGAGTCAGGAACCGATATTTTGGGTGGCTTCACCACTGAACAGCAATGACAGAGATGTTCACTCTGTTGCCTGGCATGTGGCCATGGGATTCTTGATTGTTTCCTCTGAAGGTCACACCCAAGCCGCGGAATGAGGATAGTTCTCTCTGATGCTATTCCCAGCCTGGAAAGTAAGAACTCTGGTCAGGTGTATAAGTCAGTGTCTCTTGAGGACAAAGCACCCTGGAATTTAATCGGTTAAAGCAGCACCTTTTCCTGCCCCTCTGTTTCTGCAGGGTGGCAGCAAGAGCTGGCCCTGTCCTGCTCTCTTATGCAAATTCTGTCAGTCACTGGTCAGTGAAGTGTCCACCTCAGGATCACCCGGTACAGACAGGAAGCTGGGTGCTTCTCTGCCTAGCAGACTCATCAGGGCTTGTCCTCAAGACAGCAGGAGGGCTCATGGGAGCAGATGGAGGTACATGAGGTCCCCGTGGGGTCAAATCGAGTCCCTGAGCCCAGCCCTGCTTCCTTGAGTGGTGAGCAGATTGCAGGGAGCATGGAGGGGTCCAGGCATCTGGTAATCTTTCTTATCTACTCTCTTCAAGAAATTCCAGTATCATTCCTCAACTTTAGGGAAAACACTGTCTCCATTTATATCCCTCCATTAAATATTAATACTGTGTGTGCAATGGTAGTAGTGTGAACAGTAGGAGAAAACCACACTCACATTTAAAACAACCTGGGGTCCCATCAGCATCCATTGATGGAATCCGCTTTACTACCAATCTGTGTGTTCATAGTAAGACCAAAAAAGACATAAATTCCATGGATATACTTCCTAAAGACAGCAACTAACATATTTTCTTCTTCCAATCCATTCTCCTTGTTCGCTAATCCAACCTGGCCGAGACTGGAGCTGCTTTTCTGAAGGGTCTTCTGTGTTCGATTACAGTCTTTGGGGCTTCTTGGTCACATGCTTCACCTTGGCATTGCGGTGTCTGGCCTCTGCCTATCTTTTGGGTTGTATTTTCTTTCTTTTTCCCTTGAGCACCAATCTCTACAGTTAAATAAAACTCTTTGCTGTTTCTTGGGCACATTTGTCCAAGGTCAGCACTAGTGGTTCTCAATTCTGGAGTGTGTGTCTGTGTATGTATGTGTGTGTGCACATGCACATGTGTGCACACACTGCTGGCATCTAACAGGCAGACACCAGGGAGGCTGCTACATGTCTGATGGCCGGCAGCTCCACTGCACAGAATTATCTGGTCTGGGTTGCAGTAGTGTCCAGGCTGAGGAAGCTCACCCTGATCATTTTTGCTCTCTTTTTTAGTCTCTTTTCCCCCCATGCTGCTTCTTCCTAGAAGGCCTCTCCTTTAGTGCTTCATATTGAAAAGCCCCATCCTTAAAAAGGCAGCTCCATTGCCAGGTGTTCCTGGAAACAAGTCCTGGGTAGCCTATTGCTCTTTATTGCTTAGCGCTGAGCAGTTATGGCAGTGTGGGTTCAGTACTACTCCTTGTCATTGTTCTTACTGCGCTTACCTTGGATGCTACTTGAGTGTTAGTGTATTAACTCTTTCTCTGGACCATGTGCTCCTGTGTGACGGGATCCTGTCCTGTCCTCGTTCTCATTCATCTACCATGTGCTTTGCACACAGCAAGCACATAATAAATAAAGGTTGAATGAGGAGAAACATAGATCTTCCCATGTTCTTAGGTCTGATTACTCCTAACAATTCTCTTAATGGATTTAGTTTTGAAAACAATCCAATAAGTGGAATACAAGATTCTGTTCTTGATAATTTAGGTTAAAAAATAAGTAGAAGAACTCATTGTACAATGCATTTAATTATTTGTGCTTATTTCTGCAGCTGTTTAGTGAAAAAATAAGTGGTGCTGAGGGAACGAAGCTAGATGACGAATTTCTGGACATGGAAAGGGTAAGAGAAATTTTAATATGTAAATTGAATTAGAAATTATCTTTTTTAGTTTCTTTTTTATTAGTATATGTTTGTGATACCTAATAATTACATTCATCTTGGGGAATTGATACCTATACATATTGCACCTTAGACGTTGTCCTTTATCGTAATACTGGAAAGGGTGTCAGAGTGGAAAGTGACAGTGCTTAAATATGAGCGTGGATTATGCAACCCAGAAGGCTGTTCTCCCTGACCTCCAAGTCCAGTCTGACTCCCTTGAACCTCATCCAGGGAAGGGGCTTGAGGAAGGAAATGGGATGTGGCCGACAGGTGCCCTCTAGTGGCCAGAAGTCACAGTGCTCAAAAGATGGGCCTCTTGGTTACTGGCAGGCCGTAGTAATTGTGGTTAGCTACGGTGGAGTCAAAGTGTGTTTCTGGGACAAGAACTTTCGGATCTGTAACAGCTGACTTAGCGCATGGAAGACGCAGTCTCTGGTCCTGCACAGCGAGAGTATCTTTGTTCTGGTTTTGCCGTCAGAGAAGCAGTGTGAGCTTGTGTCTGTCCTTCCCCAGCTGGGGAGCAGAGGGATGAGCTGTCTCCTGTTGGCCTCACGCGGCTGTTCAGAGAACCACGAAGAGCACCAGTGTATTTGGAACAGCTAGGAAAACGTGACCACCTTGGCACAGGAACGAGTGTACCACACTCCAGGGGAAGACTGCAATGTCCCTGCCCTGTACCGAGTTGCCTGGGCAGCTGAGCAGCCAACGCTGGCAGAGAGGCAGAGCAGGGCCACCTGTAATTACCAGCCTGCTCAACTTCCATCCCCTATATCTTAGATCTCTGTCTTTTCAATTGTTTATTTTTATGTGTTTGTTTCTTTGTGGTACTAGGGACTGAACCAAGGGCCTTCACACTGAGCTATACTCCCAGCCTTTGTTATTTTTTATTTTGAGACAGGGTCTCACTAAGTCAGGACATTGTCCATACTAGACTCAAACTTGCTATCCTCCTGCCTCAGCCTCCCAGAGTGCTGGGATGACACATGCCTGGCTTTGTTTTGGACTTTTCTCTTTTTGAATACTAGGGATTGAACTTGAAACCTTGCTCCTATGAGGCAGGGGGTGGAACCACTGAGCTAAATCCCCAGCCCGTTTTGGACTTTCTAAAGGAGGCCTGGTTCTAATGATGAGACTCCCCAGAGGAGAGGAGGAGGTGGCATGAGGCTGGGGTGTGGCAGGTTGGGTAGGGGGCAGCTGGTGCTGGGGATGAACTCTAGCCCTGGGCTGTGGCCTGGACAGCGCTGTCCTCAGAGTGCTGTCTTCTGGAGTGCTTGCTTTTCCAGAAGAGAGATACTAAGTTTTTAGAAATGTGAATGCCTTAGAGAGAAAAGGTAATTCTGTTTTTACTTAGAAAAATTTAATTTTCCCAAATTGAAGATCATGGAAACATTTTCACGTCATTGACATTCCTGGAATTTACTTTGAGAAATTGCTTAATATACAGAAGTAGTACATGTAGCACTGTCACTCACAAAATGATTCATTTATAATGCGAAATTTGAAGGCGTCTTTCAAGAGTTACAGTTTTGATTGACAGACTGAAACCTCTCTTGTTTACCTCCTTTTCCCTCCAAAAATTCCAGAAGTGACAGAAGAAATATAAAAATAAAATATATTATCTGTTTTATTGCACCAGTGAAAGGCATGGAAATATATAACATATGACCAGACATTTTAAGAACTTTCTGAAAGTGATATGTTAGTATCAGACTCACTTGAAACATGACTCAGAAATGACAAATTAATGGAAAAAATGTCCCATAACAAATGCTAACCATAAAATATAGGGGAACAATAGTAATATCAGGGTAATTTGATACAAAACAGCACTGAATAGAAAAAGTGCTTTTCTTAAAAAAAATTATAAGATGAAGTCAGTGTAGCTTGTCAGAAAATGATAAAAATTATAAACTATTTTGCACTACAGGCAAATAAAAGCTGTCAGAAATACATGGAGAATTGACAAAAATCAGAATAAAAGACTTCACGTACCTCTCTCATGAAATAACAGATTACACAATTATCAATAGGCTCATGGAATATTTGGATAAAATTTGGTTAATAATTTTGATTATAAACTGATACAGATATCTGCATTCCCCAAATGGAAAATTCACATTCTTCAAATTTTGTAACAGGGCCTGGGTCAGGGCAGAGGAAGTGGGGAATCGGCTTTCAGGCACCTTGTGGGTAAGGTGACCACGTTGAACGGGGCTCTAGATTCAGGCCACCAGCGCAAGGGCTTGATGAAAATACTTTCTCCTCTTTTCTTTCCTGTGTTTCCCAGTGGTTTGCCAAGATATTTACGTCATGTTTGTTAGCCTCAACAGACACACATGCTCAGACACACACATACATGCATGCATACGCAATAGCCCCAGTTATTCGAGTAGGAGGGTTGGAGTTTTTTCTGTTTCTAATCTACCTGAGTTATTCTTTCTATGTTCACCTTGACCACCCATGTTTGCCAACATGTATAATAGGCACCCTCTAAGATCGGAAAGGGTTTGTTTCCAGATTTTTTTTTTTTTCTAGTACTGGGGATTGAATCCAGGACTTCACATTGAGCTACATCCCCAGCCTTAAAAATTTTTTTTTAAACAGGGTCTTGCTAAATTGCTCAGGCTGGGCTCAGACTTGAGATCCTCGTGCCTCAGCCTCCCAGAGTGCTGGGATTAGAGTGCATCGCCATGGCTGGCTTTGTTTCCAGTTTTGATGCTGGGCCTGGGCTGGAAGCAGCTTGGTGTGTACCTGGCAGGGCCTCTGAGGCAGGAACATATTTTTGGTGAGTTGTTTCCCAGCTTTTTTTTTTTCAAACAATGTAGAAGGATCTAAGGTGAAAAGTCTTTCCCCCTTTGATTGCTGTCATTGTCCTCTTTGGAAGGTGCTTCTGGGGACGGGAATGTAACTCAGCGGCGCCATGCCTCCCCACCAGGTGCAAGGTCCTGAGTCTGATTCTAGTACCAGAAAAGAAAAAAAAAGTTATGTGCTGGGGATATAGCTCAGTGGCCCCTTGCATACCTGGAAGGCTTCCAATCCACAGGGTTGGCTTATCAAAGGGAACATCCTAGGCTGTGTTTTAATTAGTATTTAATTTATTAAAATTAAAAATCTAAAAAACCTAGTTTTCTTGAACTTTAGGCAGAATTTATGAATCTTATTTACAAATAATAGTGATTTGATGTAAAACAATGATTTTTCATCTTCATGTTCCATTAACTCCTAAGTTTAACAGATCCATCCTTAAAATTACCACCAGTTACATGTTGGCCAAATTTTAGAACCCCAAACTGATCACTAACACAGTGTATAGGATTTCCTCACACTTCCTCTCAAATCTGAAACAGAATTTTCCCAAGCACTTACATTTCTTGTAACTCTCATAAGCATTGAGGTGAAAAATTCTTACACATTTCACAAAGGAGCTTCATTCCCAGCTGAACACTCTGGAGAGAACTCAAAGTTTACAGCTTGTTATGTAGCCAGATGCTGCACACACGCGTGCACACTCTTGGACAGCTTGCATACACAGCACTCAGGTATCAGCAGTAGGTTTCAGTCATGTCTGACTCTTTCTGACTGCTTTTTTAAGTTTCTCTGATGCTCCGAATTTAGGCATTCAGCTCAGGGGACAAATTTTTTCCATTAATTTGTCCTTTGAAAATTTGAGACCCTTTACCAGAGCATAGTTTTACAGTTAAAAAGTAAACTTTTGTTTTCATTACTAACCAGGCGACAGCTTGCTCTCTTCCTTGGCAATGTGCCTCGGGCATCTCCCCAGTGCATACAGACCTTCCTTATTTATTTATTTTTTCTCATGACTAAAGAGTATCTCTTTACGTGGCCGTTTCACACTTTATCCAGTTGCCTCCTATTGGTTACACTCTCGGTGGTTTTTGATTCTTAACACTACGCAGAATGGACAGACAGGCACCTTTCTGCACCACTGCCCTTTGCCATCATGTTTCTATGTGATAAATCTCTAGGAATGGAACAGCTGGCAGGTTAACAGCCCTAATATTGGTTAACAGCCCTAATACCTTTGCATTACCATCCTGTCTGAAACGGCCCTTCATTCCACACCAGTATGATACCTAACACTGGGCATCTTTGATCTTAAAAATTTTTTTGTCAATCTTCTGAGTGTAAGTTCTTTTTAATTGACAATTATGAATATTTTGTCAAATGTTTGTACATGATTTATGTTTTCCCTCACTTGTAGATTGCCAGTATATTTTCTTTTGCTTCTTTCTTCTTGAGTTTATTTATTTTTCTTTCTTTTTTTTTTGGCACTGGGGATTGAACTCGGGACCTTGCGCTTGCAAGGCAGGCACCGGAACCACTGAGCTAAATCCCTGACCCCCAAGTTTATTTATTTTTAATAAGAATTCTGTGTGCTGTAGATGTAATGCTTTGTCCTTTGAAGAATTTTCTATTTGCCACTTTTTTTGGGATCAAACCATGTGTTGTCTTTCCTTGTTTAGTTTTTAATTTTCATAAAGTCAGAACTTTGGTCTTTTAATTTATGACCTTAGAGTTCCAGGTGACACTTAGGAGTTTCTTCCTATTCCAGTATTTTAGAGTATGCTCTTTTTTATTTTGAGTTTTTTATAGATCAGTATTTTAAATTCAGCGTGCAGTATGAATCTAACTTTACTATAAATTTTCCAAGTTTTAACCAAAAAAGAAAAAAAAATGAAACTGTGATGAGTCTTTAATTTACATCTTTCCAAAATTAAGTTTTCTCATCTAGAAATGTGGTTTTCAGGTGGTTACTGTGAGTTTCTCATAGGATTTATCCATTATTACTGCTCATATTTTTATTGCTCTTATGAATAGGAATCTCCTTTTCCTTTACATTTTCTTGCAGGCTATTGATAGTATAAAATAAAGCTACTGAAATTTGCATACTTAACTCTACCGTATATTCTCTGTTAACTAACAACCAGAAAGTTTTTGAAAAAAAGAAAGATTCAATCTGAACCAGGCAGAGAAAACTTTAATGTTAACATCTTCTGACCATAGCATAACTGAACATGTTTACTTTAGCTATAATGCTAATATTTATGATTCTCTTGATAATTACTGAGATAGTTTTCAATACGAGTCAGTACTAAGCATAGATAAGCATAGACATTCAAGTACGCCTAGCCGATAGGAAAGTTTGGAGATGTTCTGGTCTATCCAGTCATTCAATGGGAAGTAATAAGTTTTCCAGTTCTGTAAATATTTCATTAACATTCATTTTCATGTTAAGAAGGAAAATAGAGCTCTCTGATGTCATTCATTGGCAGGAAATGATAGATATCCCAACATTAAAAACCGGGAAAATACTGCCTCTTCCCAAAATGTTGAAAACATTCATATGGATTACAATTATCACAGTGGTGTTAAAAGTATTAAATTAATGAAACTCCCTTCTCTATTTGTTCAGTGAATTCATTGAATTTTCTGCTACTAACATTTCTGTGTCTTTTGTCTTGTTTTTAAGAAAATAGATGTTACCAATAAAGCAGTTGCAGAGATTCTTTCAAAAGCCACTGAATACCTTCAGCCGAATCCAGGTAACGTTGGAAAATGTCTTGAAATATTCTGTTGCTTATTTGTTGTCACAGACTCTAATAACCGCAGTATACTTGGCATTTGGTTGACAAAATCTAGAAGCAACTCCCCTGCCATGTTCAAATGTTGAGATTTAATTTTTAAAAGTTAAGTTTTCAGTAACCAGAAGTAGCCAAGTGAATCCTTGTTGATGAGCAACAGCAGTAACTGTTGGTCTGAGTACTAGCTGCAGGCAGTGCTAAGCAAAGGCACCTTCTAACAGGTGCTTCAGAAACCTGCTAAATGTTTTGTAAATATTTTCTTACTTAGTTGTTTCTTCTTTAAATTAAAAAAAAACCACTCCATCCTGTTCTAAAGGGTCCTGTTCTTCCATCCTGTATATTAATTTGAAAGGATTTTCATGTTACTGCTCACATGCTAACGAAAGGAAGTGTGATGAATTTGAAAAACAACACAAGCCAGTTCCCTGTTACATTGGCTTTCTCCAGAGGAGGTCTTTTAATTCCTGAGTCCTCAACCAGTGGGCCCCATGTTTTCTTAGGTTGTGAATTATATGAACCGGTAGGGGGCGCCCAAGCCCGGAGTTCTGCGAATTTACAGGCTGTGAATTTCTGATGCTGCCTTTAATTTTTATGAACTTACTATTTGCATGTAGTTACTGTGATCCCTTTGATTGTAGGAATCAGCACAGACATAACCATCTTAAAATCGAGAAAGTGAAAATTTAAGAAATTTTAAGTTTTATCAAATTTATCCAGGGAGGATGGCAAGTGTAAAATTTACTTTAAAATTATATTGATGATTATGTCTTTTCTCCCGGCTTCATCAGTTATCGAAACGATGAGCTCCTTTTCCTATGTGTCAGCCCACAAATATGTAATAAGTGTTTCTTCTATCTGAAGGCTTTCTGGCGTGTGAGAATGCGCTGTCAGATAGAGACACCAGCCCCAAAAGAGCTGACAGTGGGATGGGGTGGGAGGGTGCTGGCCAGCAGTGAAAGTGTCCCTTGACCAGAGATCTCTGGTTCTTCTTGCAGAAGAGGGGGGGAGTCCTGATGACTATCACTCAGTGCACAACACACCCACTCCAATAGTGGGAAACAGGCTGTGTGTGTGTGTGCGTGTGTGTGTGTGTGTGCGTGGTAGGAAGTGAAGCCTTTGGGCCTGGGCAGCTGGAGGATCAAGGTTTTGAGGCTGAGGTTGGCAGGGTGCAAAAGGCTGGCACTGACTGCCTAAGCCTTGCTACTCAAAGTCTGGTCCGTGGACCAGCAGGACCAGCATCCCCAGAGAAATTGCTGGAAACACAGAATCTTGGGTCCACCCCAGACTCTATATTCTAACAAGATTCCTGGGTTATTTGCCCACATATTAAAGTTTGATGCACACTAGTCTAGAATGCATTAAAAATAAAAGTCTAAATACCACAAACTGATACATGAATCACTCTAGCTTACAGAGTGAGAATGGAATCTCAAACCTGTAGGCTGGTGTTCAATTCATAGTCACTTTCGCCCCAGATGCCTCTCATTTTGTCCTGTATTAATTTCTCTTTAGATCAAACCAGCCTACTCCTTGTCCATTGATAGTATCATAGTTGTCTCCTCTTCTACACTTCACTGACGCTGCTTCCTGCACATTGTAGGAGCATTGTTCAGTCTTTCCTGAGCGTGTTGACATCTTTTCCTTTCCCAGCATCACCCTGGACTTGATTTCCACAATTATATATTCTGCCTCCCTGTGTAACTAGACTGTGAGCTCCTTGAGGGCAGATCTGGAGATCACAGGCTCCTCTGGACTCCTAGGAGTGTACAGTGTGTCGCACAGGCTGGGGATGAGTAGACTCATTGCCTAAGTCAGAGGAGAGAAAGGAAGGTAGGAAGCAGCAATTGCACATCAGGGAGTCTGTTCACTATGGCCAGGGTCTGTCTCCTCCTCCTGGCTGTCTCCCTAGTGACCTTGGATATCACTCAGCTGAATCAGCCCTGGGGAGCACAATGAGGATATTAATTACCAGTTGATAGCTTGAAGCATCCACCTCCCAATTCTATTCTTGCTTTACACTGGGTCCCTGCAAATTTGGTCTACACAGGTGTCAGCATCTGACATTAGGGAGTTGGTAATTTCAAGTGATTCCAGAGTGGCTCCCTGTGGGTGACTTACTATAGCCCTTCCTGCTATTACTGAGAGACAACATGGGCCCTAGTTTCTGTGTTCCACATGGTTATGTGACAGCAAGCTCAGCACCCACCTTGGTAAAGAATCCTGCAAGTCCTGAGGAAATGAAACAGGTCTCTGGCTCCCTGCACCCTTGGGCCTCTGGTGTTTGTATAAGGTGACCTCCATTTGGGCAGCTGCGTTTGTTAAATGCTATGTTTCTGTCACTCTACCTGGTAACTTTAAGGAATTACAAATGATGATGTTTTTAAGCATATAGAGCTAAGCTAGGAATGCTGAATACTGTGTCGAAGATCCGAGGGCAGGTGAAGACCACGGGCTACCCGCAGACGGAGGGGCTGCTGGGGGACTGCATGCTGAAGTATGGCAAGGAGCTTGGGGAGGACTCCACCTTTGGTGAGTGCTGGGCTGCCTGAGAGGAGGGTATGAGTTGTGCACAATAACTTCTGCTTGACAATGTTAGAGTTTTTCTCCTACTACCAGCTAATGCATAGTCATTGCAGTTAGTTTGGAAAACAAGGCAAGTGAAATAAAAGAAATGCTGCCACCACCCATAATCCAGCTCCCCCGACAGGCCTCATTAAACTCCTTGTTGTGTATCCTCTATATCGTCTGTTTATTCTTTTTTTAAATTAAATTCTTTTATTGGTACATTGTAGGTATACAGCACAATTACATTTCTCATTGGGAATTGTACCTTTACATAATGCATCTTAGTTCTTATTTTTTCCCCATTCCTAGCCCTCCCTTCACCCCCTCCACCCTTCCCTATTTACAAAGACTTTATTTCCATTTTTTCCATTTCTCATCATTTTTCCTTTCCCTTCTTTCCTTTCCCCTGCCCCTCCCACTACCCCTACCCCTTTGGACCTTTTCTTCCTATTTTACATTATCGATTATTCATTCTAATCATTGGTACATTTTAGGTATACAATATAATGACATTCATCATTGGAAATTTGCACCTTTACACAGTCTCTCTTGGTTCTTATTTTTCACCCTTGCCCAGCCCTCCCTTCAACCCCTCCATTCCTCTCTATTTACAAAGATTTTGTTCTTATTTTTCCATTTTCTCATATTAATCCCATTCCCTTCTTTTGTTTATTCTTAAAGGTGTATTTTTAAAAATAGATAAACCTTTAAAAATCTGAACCAGGTTGTAGTATATATCTTCTTCTGTAACCTGGTTTTTCCTGCTGATTATATCATGAATCATGACGAATCTTCTATAATATTGCTTTCAAAGGCTGCATAATATTGGATGTACATAGTTATATGTACATCATATCAAATTTTTTTTTCATGTAATTTTTTTGCACAGCATTTATAATAAGCATTTTTCATAAGTAAATCTTTGGAAACATCTCAAGTTTTGTTCTTTGATGTTATTAGGTGAAATTCGCCATAGTAAAATTACTGGCTCAAAAGTGAACTTACTTGTTCAGTTTTCTTTCAGTGTTGATGATTGAACCCAGGGCCAGCTACATCTCCACACCCTCTACTTTTTATTTTTGAGAATGGGTCTCACTAAGTCACTAAGTTGCCCAGGCTGGGCTGGAACTTTTGATCTTTCTGCCTCAGCCTTGCAGAGTACTGAGATAACAGGCCAGTGCCACCAGGCCTGGCTTTTTTAGGTCCTTTGACACATATTCCCAGTGGCCCTCCACAACGATCATTCCAGTTTGACATTCCTGCTAGGAGTGTAAGAGAGTCTTTCCCAACACAGTTACCGATGTGGGAATTCATCCTTTTCATTTACTTTTAAATAACCGATAATTTGAAATAGAGTGTTGTTTAATTTCACTTTCAGATTATATCAACGAGTAGAATCTTGCTCATGTTTGTCACCCATCATCTTCTGGAACTATGTTTGTGTCCTTTCCCTGTTTTCCTTGTTGACCTGTGAGCCGATGGGCAGGACCCTGGCTCCTTGCCGGTCTCCTACGCTGAGGCTAGGCCCCAGGCAGCACCACCTTCTGACCTCACTTTATAGAGAAAGTCTTACTCTTTATTTAGTGGCACTCATTAGTTTTCCTTTATGCTTTCTGATTTGGCATCATGTGTAGAAAATCTTTTCCATCCCAACTCCCTGGGAGCTGTGTAAATGTTTATTTCTACTTTCTTTTGAAATGTATGTTAAGTTTTCTTCTGTTTAAATTTCCCAGCTCCCGAGTTTATTGACAACACTGTACAGCAAAATCCCAAGTGGTCCCAGTGCTTTATAAAAGCCCAAATTTCCCTGCAGTTTTGAGATGATCCTTAAATTATAGACTAAATTTTTATTTTTTAAAGTTTATTTCCATCCTTTCTCTTCTTTCTCAATCTATATCCTGTTTTGATCCAATGTCATGTTGTTTTAAGTATTGTAGTTTTAAAAATATAGTTCACTAAAATTGCCCCTCCTGATTTAAGTGAGAAAAATTACAGGGACATACTTAACATTTTTATTTTTCCAGATGGAGCTTAAGTCATTTTAACCCCCTCCCACTATTAAAAAAACAAAAACTCATTATATTTTGGTTGATCTTTACTTAAATTATAAAACGAAATTGAGGACAAATTGAATTTAATATATTCAGCCTTCCAGGAGAACTTGGTATGGCTGCTACTCACGTAGTGCTAATGAGGCAGGAAATGGAAAATGAGAAATCAATTATTTGGCCATAATAATTATTCTAGGAAATTGGAGGAAAAATCTTTTGAAAATTTGCAAAAAATCTGCAATGTTAAAACATTAATTAATTAGTGACAGTGGGTAACAATCTCCTCCAGTGCAGTATAATGTGGAGTTTACTTTGTTCCTACTTTTCTTACCTGAGGGTACATCGTGGAGGGAACAGGTGACCATCAGCAGGGGCTGGGCCAAGGGGACATTGTTGCCATGCACCTGGCCAGGTGACAGTGTGACAGCCAGCCAGTTAGGTAGCTTCCAGGTGCCCACCCTCTTACAGGAAAGCGGGTTCTGGGGAGCTGATGTCAGCAGGGCACTGGGGACAGAGGGCTGTTTCCTGTCCCAAGCAAGCCTGTGCCCTGAGATGCTTCCCTATTTTTCATGCAAATAAATTGTCTGTGTCCTGGACTGACTGAAAGGATTCAAAGGTTAGGCTTGGGCTGGGCTTTCAGGTTTTCAAGCCTGGGAATTGAGAGACTGTTTTACAAAACCAATTTGGAAAACCCCAAATAGAAGAAGAACAGTTCTAATGCAGCATCTCCTGGGTGTCTTCTTGAGGACCTGCAGTCCTCACTGTGTCCAGCAGCCAGTACCCTTGGTTTGCAGAAATCTTGCGCATTACTGCAGATTAGCTGGACCAACACACCCGGGTGTAACTCAACCCAACTTGCCTGTTCCTGCCCAATCCCAGGAGGGCCGCTCGGCCTCCGTGCCAGAACCTGGTGAGAGCCGGGCGAGTGTGACCCTGCAGGTGGGCTTCGGCCTTGGAGACCTGGCCAGGAGCCCAAGAACCATCTTCAGGGGTGCAGAGCAGCCCCAAGAAGACTCCACAACCAGAAGCTGAGACGAGGCTTTGTTTATTTCTATTTCGATGTTTATTGGTTACCACTTAGCCCCTTGTGAATGAATCCTTTCACTGTTTACAAAGAGAGATTTTACTCCCCAGCTTCTAAGGAGCCCTCGGTGCCAGTTTCCAGGAGCACCGGGTTTTAAAAGGAGCTTGATCTCCACCTAGTGGCCAGCATGGCGAGTGCTTCAGTCTGAGGTATGTTTCATTTCAGGTGGAGGTAAAGCGCAGAAGGTAGAGAGGAAAATGTGGAAAAACAGGAAGGTTTATTTTATTTTACTTTTGCTTTTTCATACTTTTTGAGTAAAGATCCAAAGATGCTGGAGTGAAGGGCTTGTTACACCATCAGGCGCAAAGTTTTGGGAATTGGTTAAAAAATATAACTAGGAGTATTCTCCTGTTTATGTTTGCATTTTCTGTTGAAGGCAATGCGTTGACCGAGGTTGGTGAATCCATGAAGCTAATGGCCGAGGTGAAAGACTCTCTTGATATTAATGTAAAGCAAACTTTTATTGATCCACTTCAGTTACTCCAAGATAAAGATTTAAAAGAGATTGGGGTAAGTCTTCCAGGCTACAACTAAACCTGTTCCTATTTCAAATGATGCTTTTGTTTAAAATCCTTAGCTGGTTTCTGCAGAGACTCATAGCAAAAGTGTTATCTTACTGTGGGTGGTGAAAACACAACTCGGTTCTGTTTTCCTGGGCTGATGGGGAAAGAGTACCGGGAACAGTTAGCCCTCTCTGCTGTGGAGATGGGTGGGGACGTGTGAAATGCTCCCCCAGCTTTAAAACTGCATCTCACTGGGGCCAGCTAGAAGCCTGGCTAACAGTCCATATTTCTACAGCCATTTCTCACATAAGGAGAGGATTCCATAACTCTGCAGTACAGTTTTGATTACCAAAATCATATATCTTAGTTGCATGTTTTGGACACATTGCAGTGGTGGTTTTTATTTTCCCTTACGTCTTGAGGAAATCATTGTCTAGGAGTTGACTGTTTTTCTCTGGAAGGCTGCTAAGAGTAGCTTTCCAGAGCATATGTGGGAACTTCCAGGTCCCTGCAAGGAATTGCACTCTACCTGCTCTATCTTTTGTAGATGTGAAGGCAGGCCCAGGATGTCTACCTCACCAGGGACTTTTCTCTGGGGGTCCAGGTGTCCTCTTTTGGGGCCTCTCAGTGCCTTCAGACCTGACCTGACTGCAGCTCAGGCCAGCCCCAAAGTCACTGAACTGACAGGATGTCCTCTCTCAGGATGTTTTCTCTCTTTAGGTGTAATGAGTCTTGAAGTATGGGCCTTGGATCACTCATTAGAAATGCACATGCTTCTGGCATAGCCCAGACCCCGGAATCAGGAGTTCTGTGGGTGAAGCCAGCAGCAGTCTGTGCTTTATAAAGTCCTTCATAAACATGACTCTGATGCCCACCCCTCCTCCAGCCTATCCTTTCCAGAGATATTTTGTGGGAGATATGAATCCCATGGGTCCAGGCTGTGTGACAGGGACAGAGAGGGTAGGAGCTGGGGCACTGGCCCAGTAGCAGCTCTGCAGTTGAGGGCTGGGAAGGAACAAATGGATGCCAGCTCTTTGGCTCTTCGTTGGTTCATTCATTCTCCCAGCAGCGGTGACTCAGGGGCCTGCTGGACTCGGCCACTGGAGTGGGCACTGGCCACATGTTGCTAAACAAGCACTGGCTCTTGCCCTTGTGGAGTGGAGAGAGAGTCAATAGCTACAGCTGCTGTGAGGGGTGCTGCTGGAGAAGCCAACCCAGGAACACCAAGCCTGGGCACCTCCCTCACCCTGGCTGGGACTGCAAAAGCCTTGGAAGAGGAGCAGCTGGCAGGGCTGACTCAGATGGGTAACTCATCCAGCACAGGCCGGCCAAAGGGCCAGAGCTGGGGAGCAGTCTTGTATGTGCGTGGTCTGCCGGCCGGGGCAGGTAGTAATGGCGGAGGGAGGGCTGGGGTCCTGGAGGACCCTGGGTGTGTCTCAGCATTTAAGAGTCTACACTGAAAGCAAAGGATGTGAAGTGGGGAATGGTTGAATCTGGAGGGTTGGTGACAAATGAAAGCTGAGTGGAGAATGGTGGCACACACCTGTTATCCTAGCACTCTGGCAGGCTGAGGCAGGAGGACTGTAAATTTGGGCCCAGCCTAGGCAACTTAGCAGCTAACAAGACTATCTCAAAAGCAAGCAAACAAGAGGCTGGGGATTTAGCCCGGTGGTGCCACGCCTGCCTAGCAAGTGCTAGTTCCTGAGTTCGGTCCCCAGTACTGGGGAAAAAACCCCAAAAACAAGCAAACAGAAAGGGCTGGGGCTGTAGCTCAGTGTGAAAGCCTTGGTTCATTTCCCAGTACTGAGAAAAAGAAAAAAAGAAGCTGCCTTCCAGGAACTCCTTAAGCACCCCGCTCCCCAGTGGGCGCCCCTCGGCCCCGTACCTGTGCCATCCTTGCCCCAACTTAGGGAAAGCATGTCCCTGTTGCTGTCTCCTACTGGTCTCCACAGATCCAGGGTCCACACCCTTTTGCCATGGCCACAGTCCTGTCCCCTGCAGCCTGATCTTCCCCCTTTTCTCTGCTGGCTCCTCCTGTTCAGCAGCACCCACCCCCATCTCACCATTCTCCACACAGGGCTGTCGCACGAGACCCAAGTCCCTGCAGCTGTGGCTGACCCTGGGGTGACGGTCCCTCAGGCTCCCACAGCTTGGCCCTTGTTCCTCCGTGGGTGCCTCCCCATCCCCCTTAGCTGTCTGCAGCTCCTTCCCAGGGGAGCCATGGTGGCTCTGTCCTCTCTCTGGATTCTGCTGGGGCTCAGTGAGTGTCCTTCTATACCTGGCCATTGGCATCCTGCTTGTCTTCCTCTCTGATTGGATAGTGACTTTCTCAGGGTGGAGACCATGCTGGCTCTGCTGTTGGAGCCACACCCCTGCCACATTCTGTGCTCCCGATTAGGACTGAGGGGATGAACCCAGAGAGGAGATGGCATCTGGGTGGCAGAGATGCCCCAGCACCTTCCCCAGGTGCAGAGCCCGAGGACCAGAGCCCTCCATCTCTGAAACGCAGCACATTTCCATTCTTCCTGAGCTGCTGACCTTGGGAAGGCTGTATGCAAAGTCCTCAGGGTGACTGGTCCCGTAGGGCAGCGAGCACGGCTGTGGGTCCTACATAGTAAGTGTAAGAAATGTGTAAAAGACTCCTAGTCTTAAATCTTGCATTCACTCTGCAGCCAGATAATTTCCTAAGTGGCTTCTTGTTACTCAGCTGCTGTTTGATGTGGAAACTGTACAGATCAAACTTAAACACGTGGGTGCTCAGAGCCTCAGGTTCAGGGAGGCCTTTCCTGTCCCACTGTGCTGTGTCAAGGGTGGAGCCTGCTCACAGAGCACACTGCTTCCTGGCCGCAGCTGACTTGAGATTTGCCCAGAGTGACAAATGCTCCTGACCTCCTCCGTCCTATCAGCCCCTTCACACTTCGTCATCCCAGAAGCCAGAGCCATGCTTCCCACCAGAATGAACAGCATGGGTTATCCATGCGTCAGGGGCACTATCCGTTTTCACACACATTTTAGATATCAAATGTCTGTTTTCCAAGGTTTATGTCATAAACTTGAAGAGCCCCTGCCTTGCCCTGTACAGTTATCTGCTGTACGCTGTTTCTGACATGTATCCCTCTACTTGAATACAAACAGTGACAGGGAACTCACTACCACTCCAGGTGACCCTTTCCCTGAATGGACTGCTCTGTTACCATTATCATTTCTTATTAAAGGGATTAATGTCATTTAGAAATCTCTCCATGGCAGAGGTTGCCTGTGTCTTTCTCACCTCTGTGTTCAGTGATAGCATTTTATACAACTTTTTCTGTAATTGTTTGGGAACTTTAAGGAAGACTCATAAATATCCTTGACTCAAACACGTGCACTAAAAATGTGTGTTTTTAGTCTCTTGGTGAAGAGCTGACTGTTGTGCCAAAAAATGTCCCTATTTTTTGTATGACTCATGTGTTTAGAAGCTCTCTGGCTGTCAACAGAGCTGAAGCGAGGGGATCTTATAAAGGTTGGAAGATGGTATCCGAGCATCATTTTTCTTTTTCTTTTTTTTTTTGTGGTCAGCACTGGGGATTGAATGCAGGGCTTCTGCACTGAGCTACATCTCCAGGCCTTTTTAGCTTTTATTTTGAGGCAAGGTCTCACTAAGTCAGTAGGTCGTCCAAGTTGGGCTCAGTCTTACAATGCACCTGCCTCAGCCTCCCAGAGAGCTGGGATTACAGGCATGCACCTGGCTGTGGATCCCACATCCTGTGTCCCGCACATACACAGGTTCACTCTCTCAACCACCTTCCATTGGTCTGTCTGTTCTGAATGTTCCCACCCACTTGGCCACCACAGTTGACCCCAGAAGGTGCAGAGATGTCTACACATAGTGGTGATGATCAGTCCCCCCCTCAGGAATTTACACTGAGAAGAGGGGACGGATGTTTGCATAACAAAGATTGTTTTGTGTCCCATTGTGAATGTACCCTTCTCTCATGCCCTTCTTCCTCTTTTTTAGCATCACCTGAAAAAGCTGGAGGGCCGCCGCCTGGATTACGATTATAAAAAGAAGCGAGTAGGTAAGATTCCAGATGAAGAAGTCAGACAAGCGGTAGAAAAGTTTGAAGAGTCAAAGGACTTGGCTGAAAGAAGCATGTTTAATTTTTTAGAAAATGATGTAAGTATTTACACCAAACAAGAGACCTTAATGTGAATGAATGTGATTAGCATGTTGAGAAACTCCAAAGCTCTGGTAGTTACGGAAGTTTCCAGAACGTTCTGTAACCATTATCTCCTGCCTCGGAGGTAGCTTCAGACATCCAGCAAGCCCTGACTCAAGTCTCAATTCTTGGGAGGTCCCGTTTATCCCAAGATTGTTTCAGAGATGTTTCAAGCAGGCCCAGTTGCTGGCTTGTCTCAAGATTTCAGGGTAGACCGTTTTTGTCTTGGAGGCCACCCATGGCATTTGTGGTTTCACAGGGGATGGGAAGCTCAAGGCATGAGGCAAGTTGCGTTTTGGCTAAGCCTTGGCATTGCTTGTGAGGCAGACATTTAAGGGCTAGGGCCTCCCTCACCCCACCGCTCTATGGCCTCTATCATCTGAGTGAATGAATATGTGGGGTACAGAAGTGACCTACATTTTCCACAGTGGTGCTTGCGAACTTGGAGATTGTAAAGGTCTTGGGTGGTATTCTCCAGAAATACCAGTATTCTCTTGTACTGTGATTCTAACCACCAGCTTTTATTTCTTTGTCCACATGAAGTGAAATGAAGTGGAACTAAAGGGGATGAGTGCACCCTGATGGCAGGCCGAGGGCCTCCCTTCTTTCTTTGGCTGTGAGGACTCATGTGGTGTTCTTCTGCCTGAGTGGAAGAGGCCTCAGCCACTAGCCCCATCATCAGTCCCTGCACTCAGCGTGGCATCACTGACGCCAGGGGAAATCTCAGCCAGCATTCGCTTTGGGCCTGTTTATTAAACTTTCCCACCTGTGGGAACAAGTCAAGGGATTTATTTCTCCTCAAACCCAAGTCATACTTAGAACAGTTTATTGAAAAGTACACCATGGTTTTCTCTCTTTTTGAGTCAAGTCCAAATATACTGAGCACCTTTTATTCCTTGGTGATTCCTGAGAGAATTACGTCCACTATGCACCATTCTGAGGCCTGGAGAACTAATTGCTACAACTGGAGAAGCCAGTTTGAAATTTCTCATGCCCTCAAAACCACTGAGAACTGGAAAGTTCACTCTATTATGTTTCTCCTTCAATTTTAAAAAAATATTTTATGGGAAACAGGAGGAAGAGTAACAGGTTGCTGTCTGTTTGTCCTCAAATATATAAATTTCCTCTTTGGATTTTCCCCAAGTGATGGGTATTTTTGTTTTGACTCAGATTGCCATATTTTAATTTGCTTGAAGGATTTGGGAAATGTTTTTGAGGTGGCATCAGATGCCCCACAAGGGCCATAGCAGGTGTTGCTGCCCACTCAGGCCTATTAGCAGTGAATCGAAACACAGGTTGTGTCGTGAGCTTCTCGTGGTGGCAGCAGTGAAATTTGAAGGGGACTGTGGTATGCTTTGCGTGTCCGGGGGTCTGACGGTCTCCAGACAAGGACAGAACATCTCCAGTTCAGCAGCTTGCACCCTGTCATGCTGATGCCAGTACCACCTGGTGCTTGGGGGTCAACCCTCGGCTGGGTTTGGCGGGGAGAACAAAGTGCTAATGCACAGGGGGTGGGCAGGAGTTGAACCCACAGCCCGTCCTTAGTCTGTCCCCCATACCCAGGCTGGGGTGGGGTTCTGCGGCCCTTGGATTCTGTTCCCTCTGCACCCACAATCTCATGCCCAGCCTGTGCCACTCATCCTCACAGCCATGCTGCCCCTTTCCTGGGGAAAGGCTGGCAATGGCTGGATTTCCTCTCGGGAGATGATTGTGGCACCAACTCAAGGTGACTGGGACCTGTCTGACTCCCAGGTTGAACACAGCAGATCTGCAAGTCCAGGACTTGACAGGGCTCCCATCTGGCAGACACTGCTGGAGACAGGTGCACACAGTGTCAAGCCTCAGAGGGAGCATGGCAGCTGGCAGCAGGGGTGTCGGTGCTTCCTCCAGACGCTTGGGAAGCGCTGATATTACAGGTTAGAGATGTGGGGATATCAGTTGCCGCAGCATTTACCACTTCAGCCTCTGAGTAACTGAGCAATCAATGCTGAAGCCAGGGTGGAATCAAGGGGTGGATCTTGACAGATGAGATCGCCCAGTAATTGGAAAATGCAGACTTGGTCAGCTGTGCTGGAAGACATGGCACAGGCCCGAGTCCTTGCCCCGCCCCACCCCCCCCCAGCTGGTGGGAGCGAGCCCTAGTGCAGAGCTGGCCAGATTCACTCATCCAACATAACCTGTACAACCTGTGACGCTGCAGCCAGGTGCACAGCTCCACAGGGCCCCGGCTGCTCAGAGTGCCACTGACACGGGGTCACCTATCCTCCTACTTAGGGACAGTCCCGAGTCTCATCCACAGGAAGCATGAAGAGCACTGGAAGAGGACTTGGGAGGGTGAAGGGAGGGGAGTAGAGAGAAACCGGTGGAGAGATGTGTTTGGTGGCACCTGCCCATGTCCATTTAGCACCAGCAACTCAAAGGCCAGAATCTCACTTCCCAGGGAGCATCTGAGCCTCCTCCAGCCCTCAGGTCCTGCAGTCCTGACTAAGACACAATAGAAGCTTCACTGGAGAATGCCCAAAAACATTTGCCACAGCTCTGCATGATTTGGGAAGAGCCGTGACCAGTATCAACAGACTTGGTCTTTCTTGGATGCCCCAGTGAGGTTACATAACTCTTTGTAGGATTTCTCTGGCTAACAGGACATTCATAGGGGTTTCCAAGGTGCAGTTGTTCCTCTGTCTTCACATCTGTGTTCTCACATCTGAGCAACAAGCAGGGAGCCAGCAAAGACCACACTTCAGCACCCTGCCAAAGGTCAGGCTCCCTGAATGTGCTTGAGGAAGGGCAGCAGGGGCCTGGGCCCACAATAAATGTGCAGAGAGTGCTCCCAGGCCCTGGTCTAGGCCTTGGAACCACCACAGGGAGAGTGAGATGTGTGGGACAGAAATCCGGATGCACACACCATCTCATGACTACTTCACAAAGAATAAGAGCCACAGACAGGGCCCTCCTGCCCTTGCCTGCAGTGTCCAGCTGCCCTGGCCATCATGACCAGGTGGGTGCCCAGCCTCTGGCATCAGCTGTTAGAGAGAGATCACTTCACAGGTGGTGTGGAAAGAAGGGAGGGACAGTGCAGAGGCCTGAATTGTTCTGGCCAACATTTCTAAGCAGAAGCTCCACCTGTTTTCCTCAGAATTGGGAATGGGAGATTGGAGAAGAGTCTCCTTTGGCCCCATGCTGCAGGTTTTGCTTATAATGACAGTAAAGATGGATTTCAGGCCTGAGCTTCATTTTGCTTCTTGTTTGAGACCAAGAGCATCATTATTTAACAGGCAGTGGAGCAAGCTGGGGGTGTTTGTCCTCTGGCTTTCTGGGGACCCCTGAGGACCAGATCTAGGACTGACTGCTGTGTGCTAGGGTAGCCCTGCCCTTGGAGAAGGGTGGGGCCACAGGAAAGTCAGCGGGTGCATTCTGAGCCTTCACACCATTTCTTGGGAACAACGAATCACCCGTGGGCTTGTTAGCATTCTCTTTCCTCTGTCTTTGCAGAGAAGCTTATTCTCTATGACTTGACATTATCAAATAGAAGTTTTTGACCTTAGCAGGAACCAGAGATGCTGCATAGAAGATGAACATTTCAGCCAGGAGGGCCAGACCCCTGTGGTATCTACCAGCTTCGTTGGTACACATAGATCCTCCAACCATGGGTTCTCAAGACCGGTGGAATTCTAGATTCCTGAGTCCCTCCATTGATCTAGAGTAACATTTTCCAAAATTAAGTCCATAGACTGTTAGTGTGTATTATATTAATAATATCTCTATGGTCAAATAGATTTGGGAAGTCCTGGAAGTTTTGTAGCTAAATAAAACTACACCACATTCTTTAAAAAAATAACTTTTTAGCATCTCTACAGATGATAATATGAAAGATTAAGCTTTGAGGAGCCCCTAAGAGAGGGTGCAGTTGGCAGATTACCAAACTCATTGAACCACAGAACTGCTCGACATTGTTGCGATGATTGACATTTCAGGGGACCAGTGACCGGGGATTAAGGTACCTCAGGAAGTATTGGGCCAGCGGAAGTGTGCCCTACCAGGAGTAAGAGACCCAAAATCTGTTTCTGGTTTTGCTTCTGCTTAGTTTTATGTCTTTAGGGAAGACAGGTGTCAAGGAAATGGGCAACTGCATTGGAGAAAAAATTGAAGTATGAAGTCAATAATGAAAACATAAAGATTATTATCTATGTTATTAATGTAATTGTACATTCAGGCTTTTTATCAGAAATTCTGAATAAAGATTTTTTGACCCATTGGGAAACAACATCTTTATGATCAGACTGCAAAATTCATGAGAAATTTTTTCCCAGGCTCTCCAAGAAATCCAAAAAGAGCAGAGGTCTTTGATATGATAGAGGAAGGAATTGGATTATCTCAACCTAAATTGAATGTGGTCTCCAGTGGAAATGCGTCCTTTCAGTTGTGAAAGAGGATGGCACACTGTGGATTGTAGATATCTATGTAGAGTGTCACCTACTCCCAGCACAGTTACCTCTGTGTCACCGCCATGGCCTTCAGAGTGTGCCTCTCTGCCACTTCCTGCTGCTAACCATTCTAAGGAGGAGGTGCCACAGCCCTGCTTTTGTTTGGCCACCCCATGTTCCATGGCCCTATTGCAGAGAACTGACTTAGGGGGACCTTCCTGGAGGCTGCCTTCCTTTGAGTCCTTCTTCCTTTGGCGACAGCCCAGGTCCTTTGCAAGTTGGTCTATGAGGCCAGAAGAATGGCTCAGATTATACCCCAGTGTGCCTGGGGTTTCCACAGCTCCTGGGAACTTCTGGCACCTTAATACACTGTAGTTGGGGATCTCTATGATTGTCCTCCATCCCCAAGGCTGAGTCCTGCCAGAGTCCTCATATATCTATTAGTTTGCAGCTAAAGGGAACTTAACGGAGTTAAATGCATCTGCAGGTGACATACAGGCTATTACACCCTGGAGAGAAGTTGAATCCATCCCTCTTTTGTCCTCCTGTTCACGGGAAGAGACGGAATAGCCGCGGATAGAGCTGAGGCAGCAATGAAATCCTCAGGCCCAGCCACAGTGGTCTCATTGCCCCATGCATTCGGTGCATGAGTCTCAGGCAACAGGGGAGCCTGGCCAGCACCAGCCTGTCCTTAGATTGTCCTGGACTTGAGAATAGGCCAAGGTGGCTCTGTATTCGTTTCCTATGGCTCCTATGACAAATAGCCACAAACAGCATGGCTTACAGCAACACAAATTTATTATCTCACAATCTGGAGGTCAGAAGTCCTAAAGTCAGGAAACTGGCACCAAAGGCCTTCTGGAAGCTCTGAAGGAGTCTGATTCTTTGCTTTTTCTGCCCCTAGAGGCCGCTTGCGCTTCATGGTTGCTGGGCTAGTTCCTCATCTCCCTCTGCCTTCAGACCTAACAGCAAGGCCTCTTCAAATCTCCTGCTCTGTCCTTTGTTCCCTTTGTTCTGCTCTGACTCTGACCCTCCCGACTTCCCCATAAAGGACGCTTGGATTATGTTGGACCACCCAGACAATCCAAGATACACTTCTCATCTTGAGATCCTTAACAGAGTGGGGTCTGCAAAGTCCCCTTTGCTCTGCACAGGAACATATTCCCCGGGTTGGAGGAATCAGGACCAGAACATTGTGGCAGTGTTCTGCCTGCCACAAGCTCCTTCTGGTTTTATAGTTTCTTGGATTTCCCAGGCCCCTCCCTGGCCACCCCCATGGCGTCTGTCAACCAAGTCACCTGGACTTCATGGTCCTCTAGTTTCCTGGGCAGTCCGGTGTGCCCTGTGGGTTTCTCCCTTCACACAGCTGAGTGGGTGCTGGTGCACCTCGCTTCCAGAGATGAGAAGGAGGTAATTCTCTGGTGACTCTGTCCCTCTTCGGGTATCATGAGAATTTCTGTAGTCAGAGGTCGCTGTTGCTCTGAGGTGGCACCAGCAGAAGTGGCACCCCAGCTCTGCCTCTGCTTGAGCCCTTCTTCTCACCTTCTGTGTCAAGACAGGTTGCCAAGTTGAGCAGTGTGGCCAGTGGGAGAAGTGTTTCATCTACTGGACAGGTTTGGGTTTTTGCAAGGCCTGGGGGTATTGCTTTATCTTGGTCCTGCCTTTGTAGTTATTTAGTTCTAACTGTGGCTTTGGAATCAGAGGCTGCCTGTGCTGGTTCCCAGCACACAGCTTGATGCACATGAGCTGGGGGACAGCTGCAGGGTCCCCTTTCCTTTTAGTGGGAGAAAGATAAGGTGGCACCATGTGTCTTCCCGTTTAATAAGTGAGACAGCTTAGAAAGTGCCTTTCCAGGATTGTGCTGCGCACCTGCTTTGTGCAGACCCTGTGCACCACTGCTGATATCCCCCAAGATCTAAGGGGCTCTGGGGTCTATTGCCATCCCAAAGCCACCACCAGATTCAGAGTTCCAAGTGCATTTCTTAGTCCTCTAGTTGTGTGTCTTAGCCATATCAGAGAGAAGAGCTGGTGATCCCCAGACCCCTTTCCCCCTGCAGCACATACATTTCAAGGAATATTCATTTAGCTATCATTCATTTTTTCTTTAAAAATTATAAAATGCCGAGCATATTTTAAGGGGGTGCATAAAATAAGACACATTAATTTTATTAAAGACAGAGGTGTGGCTCAGATTTTACCAAGCATACAACTCCAGCCTAATTGTAAGAAGAAATTGTGGTGAATTCTGCCATGGTCATGTTAGGCCATGACACTGGACATACTTAAAAGTATGTGTAAAAGCCAAAGAGGTGAAATTTAAGAAATCCTTAGGATTTTATAGAGGCCAGGCTGTCTTTGTTTTGTTTATTGGGTTTGGAGAAATTTAAGGCTAGCCTTCCTGCTTTTTCAACCACCTAGCATGGTAAAGGAAATGTAATAGGATGGGTTTCCCTGTTCACATGCTAATTACATTTTGGCACAAGCACTATTCCATGTATATCTTAAGTACACATTGAGCCCATGTCTAAAATAGTATGAATGGGAAAGGAAAATTAGAGAACAGGCAACTAAAGAATGGTTTGCAGTAACACATGGAAACCGCCTGGATCTCTCAAGGCAAGCAAGGCCATGGCCGTGATGTGGGGTGAGAATGAATGAATACCCAGCAGAGTTCGCCCTAAAGCTGATTAGAAAATGATGTAAGAATACGATGCAGAGGCTTTGCAGAAGTCTGGGAAGAGTGATTCTGATTTGTGTCTTTGTCCAGATCTGGAGTTCCTGTGACTCGTGCTGGGAAGCTCTCGGTCCTCTGGGGCTTGAGTCTGAGGCTTCTAGATGTAGACTTAATTAATCCTTATTTCCAGTGCAGTTCCTCAGCCAGGTGGGAGCAGGAGAGCTCTCAGGTTCTCAAAAAGGTTGCTCTTCCTTAAAGCATGCATCTCCAGGTCTTCTGAACTTTTTCCACATAACATAGCCCCCTACCCCCACACACACCTTTTAAACTTCCACTATAAGTTGACCACTCATTTCATGGATGCGGGAATTTGTGGGAAATTTGTGGGAAAGATAATTGCCAGTCTTTTCATTCCTTTCTGCTGTATGTTTCAGGGGAAATACTTTGTTCTGGTAGCAAGAAAAATCTGCAGGGAATGGGGGCTGGCAGTTCTTTGCCCTGGAGCAGTGCTGCCCCAGAACCCCTTTCTTAACTTAGTTTCTCTATGTTTTTTACCTAGAAAGTGCCCTGAGAAGCACTTTACTAAGTGAGCTCATTTAGTAAACACTGGCTTCACTTGTCACGGGAAAAGATTGCTCTCTTCATCTTCAGATCCTCGAGCTGTAACACGTAAGAGTCTCCCAAGAATATCATCACCTGATTGGAAAAGAAGGCATTTTGTTAAGTTACATCCAATTCACAATCACACATAAATTGAAAGATGTTTTTCCAGCATCTACAGCTGTGTACCAGAACCTATATGGTTATTGCACAGGGCTCCCTGCAGGCTGGGCCTATGTTGCTGCGCCCCAGTCTCTGGACCCTGCATGTGCTCTGGCCTCCATGGAATAATTTTGCTCTTCTGCTGCAGGTAGAGCAAGTCAGCCAGTTGGCCGTGTTTGTCGAGGCCGCACTAGACTATCACAAACAGTCCACAGAGATCCTGCAGGATCTACAGGGCAAGCTGCAGATGCGGTAAGGGCCTTCTGCTCCCTCCTAGGCACTGGCTGCAGAGCTGAAAGCAATGGAGATTCATTCTCTCTCTCTCTCTGGCTCCCCACTTTTCCTTTTCTCTGCCCCATTCAAGTTTTAGTTGGCTGTCATGATTGGATGTGGGTTGGAACTAAACTGGGAAAGGGATCTCTGGCAGCTTTTCTACTCTTTCTTTTCCAGAAAGCCCCTTTTCTGTGACCTGTATTTAGAGCAGCCAGACAGAGGAGCCAACCTCTTCATAGGTCCCCTCCTGAGCTGTCCCAGCTTAGCTGCTGAGAGTTCAGCTCCCTTTTCACAAGCCAGAGTGGCAGTGGTGGTGTATACCCTCTCCTCGCCATCCAGGGGCATGGAGAAGACTGAAGTGTATTCAGAAAATGTGTAAATATCTATTAAAAAAGATGGATTTCCACTTCTTCAGTAAAAGTATCAGGTTGTGTTCATAAGATTGACCCTAAGAGGTATTGAAAGAGCCCTCTATTTCTTCTAAACCATCAAAAAAATGTTGTTGTGCCCCCCGGCTTTCATGATCAATGTAGTCAATATTTTTCATAAAATTAGTACTATATATAGTATGCATAGCAACCCTATTAACTAAAATGTTGACTTTAAAAAAACTACCCTGTGTTTTGAAATAGGCTTGATAACAGAAAATTGTTTTATACCATATCATAGTAATGAATACATTTGGAGAAATTTCACATAAGTCAGTGCTGTAATAATAGAGGAAGGCAAAATGTGTGTCCATTTTCTGGAACATCTGCTTCTGTAGGCAGACAGTCATCTGGCTCTCAGAGGAGCTGTTTGCTTAACTTTCTAGCAGAGGAGAGAGGAGATGGCAGCTGGCAGTGCTGAGGGCTATTGCTCCATGCCTCAGGGGTGTTATGAGGGCAAATACTGTAGTCTTCTTCAAGGTGAATTTCACTGAGGTGCTCAACTAGGTATTCTGAAGACTGCATTTGAGATACCACCTGTATCACTTTGGGCTACTGAGGAATCAATGTGTGAAACTGCCGCTTGTAACCTAGGTTACCTGTATGCTTACAAGCATAGAGTGAAGGTGTGTTGCAGGCTTTGGTGTCTTTGGCAGGTGTCTGACTCGGCTTCCAACATGTGTTACAGGATATCAGCTGCATCCAGTGTCCCCAGGCGAGAATACAAGCCAAGGCCAGTGAAGAGGAGTTCTAGTGAGCTCAATGGAGTTTCCTCCACCTCTACAGCAAAGATGACAGGTGAGTTAACCATTCTGGGTGCACCGTGCGTGCCTCTGATGGCTCTGATGGGAACATGCATCCACTGCTTGTTGCTCAGTGTGCATACACAGAGACCCTGGATTGCTTTCTTTGATTGTTTGGTGAAATCCTCCTTTTTCCTTCAGCAGTACCCCTTTCTCCTGTTTCCTGGTTTTAGGCACTTACATCAGATTTTGAAAACTAGAACCAGAAGGAATGCCATCACTTTACTAATGCCTTCTAATGTGGCAGTTAGGTAGATACATTGTTGCTACATTATTCTTTATATTTAAATTGTTAATGCTTTCAAAATATTTTATTGTTTTAAGAGCTTTAATTAATATTCATTGAACATTTTCTGTATGCTAGTCATCGTTGTAAGTGCCGCATCATTAATTTTTAATGACAGATGACATAGTTGAGTCAAATAATCAAATTGAGAAAAACTTCAAATGCTATAAATCCCCATTACCCTCCAGTCTTCTCCCTAGAGGTAGCCTTTGCCCACCATTTCACATAAATAGTGTCGTGTGTATTTATGTGTGCGTATAAATATGTGTCTGTGTGTGTGTGTATCCCATACATACACTACATAGTTTCAGATCATTTTCTGTTTTGCAAATGTAGGATCATCCTAGGAATATTGTTCTGAATTTTGCTATTTAAAATGGACTATTTCTTGGTATCATGTCCATGTCATGCATGTAGATCCATCCCACCATTTTTAACAGCTTCATAGCTTTTCATTATAGATACCATAACCCTGTGCACTGACATTCTGGGTTTTTGTTGCAATGAGTATCTTTTATCTGATGGCAAGTCTTTATAGGAAGTGAAATTGCTGAGTTAGAAAGCCTGTAAATTTTCAATGACATGGTAGTATATATTACTAACTACCATCCGAAATGGCTAACTGCTGTTAGTGTGTGCAGATCAGCTTTCCCATGCCCACGTCATTAGATTTTAATGTTTGCCAAGGACTTACAGTAAAAAGTGGTATTCAATCTTAACTTAAGCACTTCCAGAATTAGTAGTGAGATGAAACATTTTTATATGTCTTAATTTGCCGTTTGTATTTTCTTATGTGTGAATTGTTCATGTCATTTATTCATTTTCTTTTAACTACTGTAATTTGTTGTCTTAGTGACTGATAGGAATTCTTGACATATTGGGATAGTAATAGTTTTTTCCACTTTGTTACTTATACTTAGCCTATGAAGTGTTTTGTTTATTGTTTTTGTTCCTGTTATTTTCTTTGTTTAGCTTTATTTTGGGTATATACATGCTCTTATTTTGATGTAATAAAATATATCAACCTTTTTGCTTCTGGACTTTGCATTTTATGCCTTGTTGAGAAAAGTCTTTCTGTCCCCAGTGTTATTCTGCTACAGTTGTCTACTTTAAAATATTTCTTAATATATAGTTCTTTTCATATGGATTTTGCTTCTGTAAGTTAAACTGCTAAACCATCGGAGTGGCAGTATCGTTCCACAGCCCTACCAGCCGTGCCTGAGCAGCTCAGTTTCTCCACAACCTCGCCAGCATCTCACTGTGTCTCTTTGTTGACAATCTCGAACATCTCTTCGTGTGCTTATTTGCCACCTCGGTATCCTCTTTGGTAAAATACATCTATGCCCATTTTCTACTTGGATTGTTTATATTTTTTACTGTTGTGTTTTGAGAATTCTTTACACGTTCTGAATGTGAGTTCTTTGACTCATCTGTGGTTTGCAAATATGTTCTTTCTCTCTAGCTTATCTTTTTGTTCTCCTAAATGATCTTTCGCAGATCAAAAGTTTTTAATTTGGATGAAGTTCAACTTATCAGTTTTTTCCTCTTACATGCATTTATTGTGAATCTAAGAATTCTTTGCCATGCTAGGATAAGATTTTCTTCATGGCTCTTCTTAAGTCCATCGTCCACTTTGAGTTACTTTTTGCGCAGTGTGAAGCTAAATTTGAGATTCATGTATTTGCTGTCAGATGCCTGGTGGGTCCTCTACAGCGTGTACAGCTGCCCAGTTGCAGTTTTCTTCCACCATCATCACTGTCCACTGAGGGGTTTTTCAATGAAAAATAAAAAATTATCAGAGTAATATGGGCAAAGATGTAAAAAGAAAATGTTACGACAAAGGTTTTTATTTATGAAAAGCAGTTGTCTCCTTCTCTGCCCCTCTCCAAGGGTGACCTCCTGCTGTCAGAGCAAGCCAGTTTCAACTATTTTTGCTATTAATTTGGTATTTAACTCCATTGTTCTAAATATAATGTATATATTACTATTTCTTGAGTTTTTGGTTTTGGGTCATGTATAATGATTTCCCGATGTGGAAGAGGAGGCTTTTGCTCTCTATTTTTCAGTCTCTCGTATATTCCTTGTCCTTCCAATGTACTTATAATCACCATTTAAAAAAAATGAATATTCATTGTATAGTCATCACTTCCATCATGCAGGATTCTTCAAATGCCCTCAACCCTGTTTTCCTCTGCTGCTGTTTACACATAGTTGATTCTTCCTGTGGAGGAAATGTGAGTGGGCCCTGTGACTTTTTTGGTTACTCTTGGGTCATATAAGTTCTGCAGTCACTTGACCATGTAAATTCAGGCGTGTGCAGTAGCCAGAACGATCTAAGACCCATGAAGTAGTCACCATCGCCATTTAATTGTTGCAGTGATAAACTTGGCCTCTCTCTCTCAATAGGAAGAATGTAACCCATTCTGCCTTCTTCACGCTCTTGCCAAAAATTTCTCTAAAAATCCTTTCTAATCTCCATTTGAGATTAGACCTGGTTGTCCCTTGGACATAGGTTGAAGTCAGGCAGTGTTAGTTCGCTAACACTGGTCTTCTTTTTCTAAGTTGTTTTGGTAATTTCAGTTCTTTTGTATTTACCCATGAATTTTACAATCATCTCTTCAATTTCTACAAAAGAACAACCACATTCAGATTCTTACTTGGATTGGGTTGAATCTATAGATTATCAAATCGATAGCTGAATGATGCTGAATGTTCCAATCTTGAATAGAATCTATTTTATTTTTCTTTTATTTAGGTTTTTCATTTCTCTCAGCATTGTTTTGCTGCATTCAGTATTTGGTCTTATACAGTTTTCCTCAGTTTTTAAACATTTCATAATTTTGAAGGAGTTATAAATAACATTTTTACAAAATTGTCATTTCCCATATTTTCATTTTTTCATTGTTAGAAACATACTTGAGTTTCTTATATTGAACTTATATCCTATTGTGTAGCTACATTTGCCTATACTGTATGTCTGAGTACCTTCTATTTATTTCTCTTGACTTTTTGCACATTCCGGAACCTCCAGGATAACGTTGAAGAAATGGTTTGAGGCAGTGGACCTGGCCTGTCCCTGATCTTAGGAGTGAAGCATTCTGTTTCATAGTTAAATATGATATTAATGCTAATTTTTTCATAGATTGTTTGATCAGACTGAGGGAGAGTCATTCTAGTCACAGTGTGCTGAAAGTTTTTAATAGGGAACATTAAAAAATTTTTGCCATATGCTTTTTTTGGACATTTATTGAAATGATTACTTAAGATTATTAATTAATATGGTTACTTATATTAAATCTATTAAATCAACCTTACATTCCTGGGGTAAGCCTTCTACGTGAAAGGTATGTGTAAAAATATACTTTTAATTTTGGAATATTATTAGATTTCCAGGAAAGTTGTGAAGATAGTACAAAGCATTCCCATATACCCTATTAATTTTCTCTACTATTAACATTTTATTCATATGGTATGGTATGTTGCAATTAATGAGCTTATATTCATTTATTATTATTATTTGTGGTGCTAGGGATGGAAACCAAGGCTCTGTGTGTGTGTGTGTGTGTGTGTGTGTGTTTATTGAGGTTATCTGTTTCTTCTTTTTTTTTTTTGATACCGGGGAGTGAACTCGTGTCCTTGCGCTTTTGAGGCAGGTGGTGGAACCACTCACTGAGCTAAATCCCCAGCCCTATCTGTTTCTTCTTGAGTGAGCTTTGGGAGTTTATGTCTGTCCAAGAATTTGCAAGAATTTGTCCATTTCATCTAGGTTGTCAAATTTATGGGCATAAAGTTATCCCCCTTCTAAAGTCTATAGATTCTGTGGTGATGTCACCTCTCATTTATTTCTGAAACTGATAATTGGTCATTTCTTTTTTTTCTCCAGCATTTTGCCTGTAAGTTTCTCAATTTCAATGATCTCAAAGAACAAATTTTCTAGTTCATTGATTTTTCTCTCTTGTTCACTTTTTTACTGAGTTCCATTTTGATCTTTATTCTTTCATTTCTTCTGCTTGCTTTGGATTTCATTTGCTCCTTTTCTAGTTTCTTAGCAGAATCTAAGGTCATCGAATCTGTTCTCTTCTAGTGCATTACATGTGGTCAGTGCTATCAGTCCCCACTCCAGGTATGACTTCAGCAGCAGCTCTTGGATTTGAATATGTTGTGTTTACATTTTTATCCTCTTCCAACTGCTCTCTAATTCTACTGATTGTATTCTCTTTAAACCGTGGTTTCATTTGAAGTATATAATTTCATTTTTACATATGTAGGTACTTTCCAGATAACCTATTTTAGATTTCACATTAATTCTATTTTGTTCAAATAACATACTTTGTATGAATGGTGCCCTTTGCAGTATTTGAGGCTTGCTTTATAGGCCAGAATTTGATCCATTGTGGTAAAAGTTCTGTGTGTACTTGAAGAGAATGTGTATTCTACTCTTGTTAGATGAGTGTTCTAGAAATGTCCATTTGGTCAAGTTGTTAGATGACATTGTTCAGTTCTTCTAAATCTTTACTGATTTGGGCTCTGTTTTTTCCTAGAAATTTTTGGATAAGGAGTATTGAAATCTCAAATGATAGTGGTAGATTTGTCTATTTCTCCTGCTAATTGAATCAGAAATATGGGAAGATGGGTTCCTTCATTCTCATTCACTCTTTTAATCTAATTACTCATATTGTTTTTAAACATGGAAAGATGTTTTATTGCCT